TTATTCTCTATATCTGTCTAATAGCATTTTCCCAGGATATTTGTGATGTTTTTCTCCCCTTAGGTGGCAATCACAGTATGTGCAAAATGTCTAAATATTTGTGACCTCTAAGGCACTGGCACGATGAGATGCATGCTGTTGTACTCAGGTTTTCATATACTTGTCTGATTCCTTTATTAGGATACACTGTTAGAGATGGAATGGCTTGGCCAGAAAGTAATCATATTTTATGACTTTTAGTAGGTGTTGCCGAAGTCATGTGGAGAACAGTTGGACTGTTCTGCTGTGACCATCAGTGTTTGAATGGGTCTCTTGCCTCAATTCATCTTATTCCAAATAGCTAGCTTGCCGAAAAGGAAGTATCTTGTTTAATGTGCATATTAGATGACTAGTGAAGTCAGACTTGTTTCATGGGTTTCATTTGCAATGTGAATTTTTTGGTTACGTGCCCACATTTCCCAGCATTCTTTTGGCATGCTTCCCTATTTGATGATTTGGTGAGGATTTGTTACATATTAGAGGTAATGCATTTTTGTCATTATTCCATTACATAATTTCTCAGTTTTTAATTTGCCTTTCATTTTTATTTGTGATATTTCTTAGTGTTACTGATAGAAAATCCTTTCCCACCTCCAAACTGCTAAACTGTTCTAGTTGTAATTCTGCCATACTTGAGACACATGTAGTATGTTCATATTATATTGTTCACTAGAATGTAACCTGTTTAAAAACCAATCCAGAGGGTAGGAGCCAAGATGACAGCATGAGTAGGGCAGCAGAAATCTCCTCTCAAAACCATATATATTTTTGAAAATATCAACTATTCCTAAAAGAGAGACCAGAAGATACAGTACAACAGCCAGGCTACATCTATACCTGCAAGAACCCAATGCCCCACAAAGGGAAGGGGGTAAGATAAAAGCCGTGGCCCAGTGGGACCCAAGCCAGACCCCCAACCCAGGTCCCCAGCAGGAGGAGAGGAGTCGGAGTGCGGAGGGAGTGGGAGCCCAGGAGTGCAGACACACAGTGCATAGTGTGCTGGATACTAGGGAAATGGAACAGTAAAACCTGTGACCGGGTTCCAACAGCCGGCGCCCCTAGGACAAAGAAAAGCAAGTGCTTTTAGAAAGTCTTAAAGGGACAGGAGCCTCACAGCTACACAGAAGCGTCCCAGCACTCTCAGCCCAGCAGCTGGGAATCCTGGGGAACTCCGGGCGCCCTAACCCACTGGACGGCAGCGCAGCTCTGACACCCCTCATGGCAATAAACAGCCTCCCACCTGTTCCCCCTCTGGCACAGCCCCGCCATAGCGGAGTAGCAGCCTGAGACCGGCCATGAGACTCAGAGACCCCGTCTGTACGCAGCTGCCCAGCACAAGCCGCTAGGGGTCGCTGTTCTCGCTCACTGAATCCATAGTGAACTTGCCCGGGGCTGAAACCCATTGGCAAGACAAAGGGTTATACCCAACTTAATTCTCAGTGGCGGGTCAGTCACTAAAATCCCATTCACTCACAGCAAGTCTGCATGCAGCAAGCCAGTCTCTGCCTCTGGGCCCCTCTGTCTGCACAGCTGTCCTCTGGGCTTTTCTGCCTGCACAGCCGTCCCGCACAGTTGTCCCACACAGCCATCCTCTGGGCCTCTGTCCTCGGTGCTGCCACCACTCCAGCCTCTACTCTGCTCTCCTGCAGCCTTGCAGCCCTGCCACCATTTCATGCCCAGAGCACTGGGCGGAGCTCTTTATATGGAGTCAACAGCCATGTATTGCCCACAGGTGTGCAGTGAGCTAGTCAACCAGGGCCAGGTGAGAATCCTGGCCACAGGGACTCTCATTTTCTCCACACTAGCCATGTGAAATTATAACATAAGGAAATAAGACATGCTCTCTTCTCATGAATAATTTAGTAACTTAGAATCACTTTAATATCCAAATGTATGCCTTCACTGAGCAAAATGAGAAACTCAAAAGAGCTGAATTGCTGAGTGGGTGGGAGGGATGCAGGGAATAATCCACTTGTTGATATTAACTGAATTTTGCTGTTTTCCTGTCCATTTTATGATCAGGTATGGACAGAAAGCTCTTTAGGAATAATCTTAAACTTCTTTAAAAAATGATCATCTGCAGGTTTTCCAAGAAAAAACAATTATTTAATATTGAGTAAATGCAATAAGCTCCCCAAAGGCCTTCTTTTATTTTTGATGCTTTCATGTGCTATTCTCTTTCTCTTAGGCCTTTGAACTGGCCACAGGTGACTATTTGTTTGAACCTCATTCAGGTGAAGAGTACACTCGAGATGAAGGTGAGCGCCCTAAACCAAGGATGTCTGTGCACGGTATTTACACTTGCCACACGCGGCTAACATCATCTGTTAATACTGAAGAGCTTAGTCTTTTTAGTATGCTAAATATATATAAATCTCCAAAGACAGAAATATAAGATGTGTTTTATATTAGGTATTAGATGTACTAGATATTTTATAAGAGATATTAAAGAACTCTATGTGAGGATTAGAGAAAAGGCCACAGTTCATTAAACCAAAACTTCTATTTCCCAGGTAATTTCTTCTAGAACATCTAGTTTCTTCTTTCTGTATAAACCCGTCATTCATTCTTTACCCAGTTTGTATCTACCTATTTATCAGCCTGTTGCTCAGTTATGACTCCAACTTTATTTGGAAGTCAGTAATTTAAATATTCAAACATCCTAACCTAACTGCAAAGACTACATCCTATTTGTATAAATTCTGCAACATTTAGCATTTTTTTCTTCCTTTCTGAAAGTAAAGCCATATTTTTTATTTTTAAATGATAATAACATTTAGAATTCCATTTTAAAACATAATATTACTAATTTACATTTTGTGATAGCCAGGAGGAAAAGAGCAAGGTGTCAGTTGCTCCGTCTCAGAGGACATACATGAAAGCAGATAAACTGAATGTGTATGTTTTGTTTTGTTTTATCATTGTATCATTTGGATGGTGGCATCCACACAACTAGGTGAGATAATAAGGTGAATGAAAAAGCTAATAAAGAAATGTTTTACCTTACTTTATTATACAATGTAGGTAAGTAGGGATTACTTAAGAGAACACTAGCAGCGCACCCTCCCACTATGGAAAACACATCCTTTACTTTCAGTGCTTCCCTTAGTTCTTTGAGAAATCAGGCTTTATGCTCTGTGGAACCAAGAATGCTCTCCATTTCTCGAACTGTGGCCCCCTGGGATATTAACAGGAAATTTTAGTAGGGCCTGCCAATATTCCTAACACGTACTATTTGGGCAATATGTGCTAATTCCCACAGCCAAATACCTATTTTAGTAGGTACAGTTTGGCCATGTTTTCTATACATAAGCCCCTTCATAAGAATATACTGTGACTACTCCCCATGTGCACACTTCATGTTCCCTGTTCTCTGCTTGCTTTTTTTTTCTGGGTTATGTTTGGGGCTATAGACTTAAATTACTTTAGAAATACCTTACTATATCTATTTGGGAGGGTGATTAATTTTTTTTCTCTTTACTTTCCTTGACTCTATAAATAGTGTGTGGTACCTAACACATACAGTGGCTAGGATTATATTGTGTTGCATCTGATGCTGCCAAACCTGAATGCTGAAATATATATGAAAAGTGCCAAGTAAGGAACAAGAAAGAACCATCTACCCTAGAAATATAGTTCCTAATTTATTCCCTCCTCTACCAGTCAATACTAATAATGCTTAGTGAAACCACAAACCACTGTGGTTTGGCCCATAAGAGCAGAAAAAAGCAAACCCTTCCTCCTGGCTAGTGTATGCATAGTTCGTTACAAGTCATGGTAGGACTGGGGCCTGGGTAGCATGTCCTCTATTATTGTTGATGTTCCACAGCACTAATTCTTGGAGTAATACTTGATAATTCTGCCTATCATATATATCAATCCTGTGATTAATTGATAAGCTAGGGATAGGTTGCTAGAACTAAATGTTAAATAACACTTTCAAGGGAAAAATAATTCCTTGGCATACGAAAAAATATCAGAAGAAACAATACTTTATTTTGAAGTTTACAGTAAGATAAACTGTAGTCTATTTGTAATGAATTTATACAATGACATTTATTTGCAGGTCCTGAAATTTCTTGGCAGCCAAGTATTTCAATCCATAAATTCAATCAAAACCATAAATTCAGTCAAAACTTAGCCAACTCATGAATGTGAAGCCTTTTTGAAATGAGACCACTGAGTCCTTTACATGAGAAACAGATATGACCTGAAACTTTCATGAATTCCTAAATACATGGTTGTCTCTAGATTATTATTCTCCTATAAAATACATTATTTGAAGTTTTTAAGTGATTCCTTTTGATGATTCTGTAACTATAAGATTAGTTATTTATAAAGCTTTTTTTTATTGTTGTTATGAGCCATCACTTTTTAAAACTTCATATTCTTAGCTGCTGCCACCTGCAAAGTGAAGAAGATAGTAGCACTGCCTATACTTGTGGGAACTGGCTGGTGCCAGGCTCACTCCTGGTGGCCGACTACACACGTCCCAGGCAGCGATCACAGTCTGTGTTCTTGCTCTGACAGTTAAACGGTGCTACATGATTTGGACTATAAGTGACCTACACGTAGTCAATTAGCTACACTTTCAAACGTGCTAATTTTTCCTTTAAAAAGCATGATTTATTTAAAAAAAAAACTCTAGGCTAGACATAAGATAGGGGTTTTCATCTGAGTTCTCATTAGCCCTAAAACTTTGGGTAGACCATTCATTCTCTCTGAGGTTCCATTCTCTCATCTTTAAAATGGGGTATCAATCTTGGCCAGTTTTACAGAGTGATTGTGAAAACTCAAATAATTATATATGAGTGCTTTCTCATGAACATTCTTAAGTAAAGTGGTGTTATCACTGCTTGAAGCCCAGAGCAGTATTATAAATAGATAACAATTCTTTAATGTCTAAAGCATATTGGTACAGTTTTTTTACCATACCTAAAAAAATAATCCACCTGGACCTAGATGTATAGACAAAACGGAAATAAAGGTGTAGGCAAACCTCCCAACTACAGAATGGGACTTGCCAGCTACTATCAGATAACCAACCACCTGAAATAATTCTTGGCCTTCCCAGTCTCCCCTTGAGTGTCCTTGGTTTTATTTGTAGTTAGTTGCTAGTCCTTGAAAAAGGTATTCATAGAAAAAACCTCTTTTTCAGCTTGTCCTTGATCCTGTTCTTCTTACCCTTCTATTTTAGACCACGTTGCATACATTATAGAGCTGATAGGCAGCATTCCAAGACGCTGTGTCCTCAGTAGGAAATAGTCACAGGATTTCTTCAATAGCAGAGGTAGTATTGGTAACATGAGTTTTCATCTAGGCCCCAGGGATACAACTTCAGGAAAAAGAGCATTCACACCAAGATTGTTTTTAGTTATTACTCAAGTCCTCCCTGAGTAGGTGCCTGATTTTTTATGTTTTTCTGGATTCTCTGTTAGATGAATAGAGTCCTTTTCTCATTTAGGGCAGAAAGAAAGCCTGCAATGCTTTACAAGGAGGTGTGCATGCTACTCTTTCTGCCAGTGTCTAGAACTGCATTTCTTACATATGTCTTCTCTTTTCCCCCTCTTGACACATTTGAAACATACAGATCACATTGCATTAATCATAAAACTTCTGGGGAAGGTGCCTCACAAGCTCATTGTGGCAGGAAAATATTCCAAGAATTTTTCACCAAAAAAGGTAAAATAAATGTGTGGGTTCCCAGACATTAAGGGGGCAAAAGTGTTTGAAATTAAGAGGTAAGTACAACCAGGTACATGTTCTCAACACCTCCAGAAGGATGATCCTACCTTGTGAGCTGTGACTTGGCAGAGAGGTTAAATAGTGTGATCAAGAGCATAGAACTGGAGCCAGACTATCTGGATTCAAATCCCAACTGCTTAGCTAGTTATGTGGCCTTTGATGCAACCTTAGTTTGCTGATTTCTAAATGAGGATAATAGTAGTGTTTACTTCTTGTTAAAGTTACCATGTATTTAGTACCTGGCTCACATAGTTGGTTGATAACTCCTACTACAGCACTTCTGGAAAATGGACAATTTTTTGCCAGCCCTTGATCTAAGAACTGCCTCTGTCAAAGGGCAAGTAGTTTACTTTGAACTGAAGGACAAGATTGCATCTCACTCGTTTTGTAGCTCTGTGACACCCAACACAGTCATTTAAACACATCAGTCATGATTTAACTTTATGCTTTGCAGCTTCATTAAGTTTAAGTTAGAGAAACTCTTCACCTCAAATTTTTGACTTGACAATATGTTTTGGCATATTTAAATATGTATTTCTTGCATTCTAAATACGAAAGCTGAAATGTAAAAACCTGACCTAGAAGCGACTTAGAAAACGGCCTTTTCTTTTTTCCTTTATGGTACAGTTCCCTTTTTCCTCACAGTGTGTACACTAGGCTGAGAAAAAATCAATTTTCTCAATACTTGACAGCAAGCATCCTCAAAACATTTCTTAATGCTTCTTTTTTTGGGCAGGAAAATAGTGAAGTGCTTCACAAGAGTTTCTTCTTGTGTGCAGAAGACTAATGGTATGCAGGCACCAAGTAGGTCATTAAATAGGCACTTGCTGCCCCAGAAGAGATTTCAAGTAAGTGTTGTAAGAAAAAGTTTTAAAGCAGCATTTACCTTAATAAGCCATGATAATTAATTGACTTCTTTTTTTAAAATTTGTCACTTCAAAGAAACAATTACATCTGAAAGATACCTGAAAACTTACGAAGTTTATTCAATTAATTTTGTTGCTTCTATCCATGTTTGACATGTTTTTAGCACTTTATTTTGAAATTACTGCCTCAGTTTGAAGGAACACTAGACTATTGAGCCAAAAAAAAGAGTACAGCCAACTTGTTCTTGGTATGTGGTGATAAACTGCCTCTCAGCACCACATGAGACCATGTCGAGCATGCAGGCATTTATTATTCACTTTAATGAAAGCCATGTTCCTGATAGGCCTACCCAGTTTGACTGGAACAAAAAATCCTGGAATGGTAGAGCAAGCAAACTACCTCAAATCTTCGGGCCCTCATGAGAAATAAGACACTTCTTTCTGAGGAATGCATTAGAGAATAGAGGTTCTTTGTGAATGGAGAAGGGTTAGATTCTGAAGGTAAAATTTGATTGTTTATAGACTACCCGGATTAGTGCCCAGCTTTCCGTGAAAGGATCTTGTCACCTGTCAGTTTTGGTCAGTTTCTTTTGTACTGTCTTTACCACAGGTGACCTGAAACACATCACAAAGCTGAAACCCTGGGGCCTTTTTGAGGTTCTAGTGGAGAAGTATGAGTGGTCTCAGGAAGAGGCAGCTGGCTTCACGGGTTTCTTACTGCCCATGTTGGAGCTGATCCCCGAGAAGAGAGCCACCGCTGCTGATTGTCTCCGGCACCCTTGGCTCGACTTGTAACCCCAGCCCAGCCCAGCACTGCAGCAGAGATCACACACAGGCCCTCCGCCCCTCCCCTCCAAGCATTTCCCTGTTCCTTTTTCAGGGAGAAGCTCTTCCTTCAAGGGTTTCTAGATTTTTTATTTTTAACCCAACATGTTTGTTTGGGTTTGCTTATTGACCCTGTGGAGACCCCACTCCCCCAGCTGTGGGGCATCCTAGGTGATGTTGGCCTTGATTGGGCTCCGCCAAAGACTAGTGGACTAAAATGTGAAACAGCCTCTCACCCTGTTCCTTGTCTTTCCATTAGGACATCCTTTAAATTGTAAGCATCCTCTTTAATAAGAGCCGTGAAGATGTATGAGCTCATCTTTAATTCACTGACTCTGAGAGTCCATTTTCTTAGTGCACATCCTATTGCCAGCGTAAGGATGAGCAGGGAATGGGGTTACTTCTGTGTACAGCAGAGACATAAAACTTGCCCTATCCAGGCTGCATCATCTTTCTGGATTGTTTCTGTTCTCTGCGTTCACATTTTTTCCTGCAGCTTTGAAGCAACTATCTTTTTAAATGTGCTGTATAAACACCAAATTTGGGTGCCATTTTATCACTGTTCAAAGCACTGTCAAATTCCTTATATCCTTTAATAATTCTTGAATTCAAGATCCTTGAATCTTCAGTCTGATTTTTGATGGAACAGAACCATTGACTAGTAATTTCTTCAGAACCACAGATATTCTGCAAAGTCCTTTCCTATGTGTCTTCTGTTACCCTAACAGCAAAGTTACATTAACTGGCTGTTTGGTTTTGGTTTTGGTTTTTTTAATCCCTGGCTGGCACTTTACTCATTGCACTTGAGTTTATTGCCCCATAACTAAAGAATACGAATAGGTCCAGAAAGGAGATAAGGATTTCATAGGTTTCTAGCCTAAGAAGAAACTTCCTGATTCTTTTCCAGTTATTCCCCTACTTTTGTGTAGTCTTTTCCTTGACCTTGTCTAAAATTTAGCCTTAAAACAGTTTTCTTCTGTGGCTTTGCGTTTCTTATGTCCTCAGAGGCTTCTGGTCTTAAACAAAATTCCAGGATAAAAGAACCAAGGGGAAGGGTGGGATGGCACTTCCTTTTTTTTTTTTTCTAGTTTAAGACTAGCCATTCTCTGCTGCTATTTCCTTGTATAATGGAAGTTTTTAACTGCAATTTTGAGATGATTGAAGTGTACTTGATGCTTTGTTTTGCTTTTTTTTTTTTTAATGAGAAGAGGCTTTGTGAATCTTATTTAGGATGGGCCTCTCCTAGACTTGCCATAGATGCTACATATTCCTTGGGTCATATTGAAAAGTAGAAGAGGGGCAGAATTGGGGTCACAGCCACTTGTTCAGCACAGACCAAGTGGGCCTTGGGGTTTACAGCACTCTCCAGAAGCAGGTCCAGGACTGATTTGCAGAATGCTAAGGAGGTGTGACTTGAGGCTCTACTAGCAAAGCTGCTGATGAGACTATTGGGTAGCTAACTTTTCTGTACGGAGATTGGAGTCCAGATTCTGTCGTTTGTCCACCAATAATGACAGAGGAAGAACTGGTGTAGTAATGGAATCCTTTAACTCGTAAGCATATTACTCTGAGTAATTATAGCCAGCCATTCATCGGGTCCTTGATTGGGTAGTCCTGAAATCAGACATGTTCCTGTAGAAAGAATTTTAAGTGAGGCTGTCTATGCACCTATCAAGACTAAAAGAGAATAGATTGTATCAAACAACGGCAGGGAAAATCCTTCAGCAATTCTAATCTACTTTGGGTGTTCAGTGATATCCACATCTAAAGCAATAGCAGACTAGAACTGAATTATTTTCTATGCTGTAAAACCACAATTGTAGAATTAAAGGAATTCTGATGATAGTAAGGTGAAATAACTAAAATACACATAAATAGAAGGCCCCATTTTAATAATTGACATGAAAAGAAATTTTAATGAAAGAACCTGTAACTTCATTTTGGAAATGTTTCCCCACCAAAAAAGGGCTTTTTCTCCCTTTTGCTTAAGGAGCCAAATTAGAAGCTGGAGAAAGAGGCAGCTGTTGTATTTGGTCTTCCAGGTACCCCATATACCTTTATTGAACTTATAATACCGTTAAATTGCCAAGATCTCACTAAAGGATTTCTATTTGCTGTCAGTTAAAAATAAAATCCCAGATACATTTTTATTCTTTCTACTGGGTGCATTGTCTGTTTTCTTTGTAAATGCAGTACAATAAATGAATTATTTAATAACCTACATGTTTCCAGCAGATTTCTATTCATTTGTTGCCCGAATTGGTCTGACTGAAGCTTTAGAATGAAAGAAAGGATTGGCTGAGTATGCTTTTTGAACTTAAATATGCAATGAAACTATACAACTTGAACACATGACAATTTGTGGTGTTTGTAACTTTGCTTCATCTTTAAATTGATGGTGGGGTGCTTTAACAGTATATTTTGGAAAATTTTAAGAAAATTGTTATTCTCTATATCTGTCTGATAGCATTTTTCTGGGATATTTGTAATGTTTTTCTCCCCTTAGGTTGCAATCACAGTATGTACAAAATGCCCAAAGATTTGTGACCTCTAAGGCACTGGCACGATGAGATGCATGCTGTTGTACTCAGGTTTTCACATACTTGTCTGATTCATTCCTTAGGATACATTGTTAGAAATGGAATTGCTAGGCCAGAAAGTAATCATATTTTATTACTTTTAGTAGGTGTTGCCTAAGTCATGTGGAGAACAGTTGGACTCTTCTGCTGTGACCATCAGTGTTTGAATGGGTCTCTTGTGGTCTCACTCATCTTATTCCAAATAGCTAGTTTGCCTGAAAAGGAAGTATCTTGTTTAATGTGCATATTAGATGACTAGTGAAGTCAGACTTGTTTCATGGGTTTCATTTGCAATGTGGATTTTATCGTTATTTGCCTACATTTCCCAGCTTTCTTTTGGCATGCTTCCCTATTTGATGATTTGGTGAGGATTTGTTATAAATTAAAGGTAACGCATTTTTGTCATTTTCCCATCACATACTTTCTCAGTTTTTAATTTGCCTTTCACTTTTATTTGTGGTATTTCTTAGTGTTACTCACAGAAAATCCTTTCCCAGCTCTGAACTGCTAAACTGTGCTAGTTTTAATTATGCCATACTTAAGACACATGTAGTGTGTTCATATTATATTGTTGACTAGAATGTAACCTGTTTAAAAACCAGTCCAAAATAATTAAATTGGGATTCATCAAACCAGTATGCTCACTAGACCAATCTAAGCAGTCCTTTAAGCCTTGTGTTACATGTATGGACCTAGAACTCAGGGTTTTGAAAAACTTGGTAAGTGCTGTCCTAGGAGAGCTTAATAGCTATCTGAAAAGAGCTAGCAAACTGAGGTGGAGTTACAGCCCCACCAGTAACTCTTCATTCACCCTGAGTGTCCACAGGGGGCCATTTAGCTGCTCCAGAACGCGCCAGGGTACAAATGGATTTCATTACTGCCCATATAATTTCTGAAGCCTGTAGTGCCTTCCAGTTTGGCCTTATGAAAACTGATGACTTACTGGTAATATAATCTGAACTTACATTTCCTTCAAAAACAAGGCCTGTGACACCAGACAAGTTTCAGTTGGCCTTCAAAGGCCCCCAGTATTGTGCCTGTAGAGTCAGCAAGGCTCTGGTTACCTGCAGCTCTTCCACGGTCTTCAATATGCAAAGGTAGATATACAAAACTTTTATATTACATATTATACAAAGATAACTTATGAACCATGTGACCTGAGGAGTAATCATATTTGTTAATAAAAAACCAATCCAAAATAATTAGATTGGGATTCATCAAAAACCAGTATGCTCACTAGACCAATCTAAGCAGTCTGTTATGCCTTGTGTTACATGTATGGACCTGGAACTCAGGGTTTTGAAAAACTTGGTAAGTGCTGTCCTAGGAGAGCTTAATAGCTATTTGAAAAGAGCTAGCAAACTGAGGTGGAGTTACAGCCCCACCTGTAACTCTTCATTCACCCTGAGTGTCCACAGGGGGCCATTTAGCTGCTGCAGAGCGTGCCCGGGGTACAAATGGACTTCATTACTGCCCATATAATTTCTGAAGCCTGTAGTGCCTTCCAGTTTGGCCTTAATGAAAACTGATGATTTACTGGTAATATAATCTGAACTTACATTTGCTTCAAAAACAAGGCCTGTGACACAAGACAAGCTTCAGTTGGCCTTCAGAGGCTTCCAGTATTGTGCCTTTGGAGTCAGCAAGGCGCTGGTTACCTGCAGCTCTTCCACGGTCTTCAATATGCAAAGGTAGATATATAAAATTTTTATATTACGTATTATACAAAGATTACTTATGAACCATGTGACCTGAGGAGGAAGTTGATTTGTGTGACTGGAGTCTTGTGTTTAAAATTTGGAATTAAAAAACTACATGTGTCATATTCATTTGTCTTTCAGTGCTTGCATAAACACTATACCATGCCAAGTCCTTATGATAACAGAAATAATCCCATTTAAATAGAGAAAATCTGAGATCATGTTAAATGTTTACAGGATTTAACTAAGTAATTAAGCAAGTTTACCTAGTTCTGTTACTAACTGCACCATTCCTTGTAAAGGGAGGTTTTAATATATAGACGATCAGTTTGAACTTCCCAAGTTCATTTTATAATGAAATCTTATGTCCTTAATGCAGATCCAGTTTTCACTCATTTTAATACTGTAACAAGCCTTGCCCTCCAATTAGCAGAACTGGACTGTTGCAGAAGTGCATCAGCTGCCTGCTATTTGAGCTGTGATCTTAGATGTTATACCCTTAACACACTGCATTGGTTCCTTTGGATTTACTGAATATGAAGGAAAGTATGATCAATGTTGGAAATTTGTGACCCTACTATAAATCCTCTTGAGGTTAGATAACAGAAGTAGGATGAGTTTTGAGGGTTACGGCCCTTTGATCTTAAGCAGCTTAATTTACTAAAGAACAAATATGTATCCATCAGCATTTTTTTTTTACAAGAAATGTATATTAACTTGCCTGAGAATACCATGCTGGCCTCTACTTAGAGCCCTGAGACACATCACGATAGTGTAGGAAAAATGGAAGTTCTAGTTTACTAGAATCTGATCTTTGTTCCAATAAAGCATTCTAGGTACAATCAGATTAAGGCAAAAGTGACAGGACATCACTTCTAGATGGGATTACAAAGGGACTGGGGCTTCTGTCTGCATGATCTCTTGCTCTGCCTTGGAACCCTTGCTTTGGGGAAGCGAGCCACCATGTGAGTGTCCCACAGAGAGGCCTGCGGCCAGTGAGGAGCCCTGAACCCAACAGCATGTGAGAAACAACCACTGAGCTAGGCAGTGGATCTAATACCTTAACTGCAGCCCTTTGAGAAACCAGAGACACTTGGCTGAGACTTGCCAGATTGCTAACCCACAGAAACCGAACTGTTTTAAACCACTGAGTGCTGGGGTAGTTTGTTAGGCAGTAATAAATAACTGATACAGGGATGTAAGATAACGAAAGCATTTAGGATTTCCGGTTCACATTTCAGATATGCCCAGTCCTTACGCTCTTAACCAAATCAGCTCAGGAGCTGTCATTGATGCTGAAGCTTAGGCACTGCCACCATCCCTACACACCAGCTGAAGGCACAGGCAAGGCAGGAGTGAGAAAGGAGTAAGGCAACTCGTTAGAGGAGTGCTGATTTTATTGGTTTTCCATACACTTTCAAAGATGAGATTTCAGGTGCCTTCTGAGAATTTATTTAAAGGTAAAATCACTTGAATTGATAAAGTTACTAGATATTAACTAAAATCATTACTATTATTAGAGAAGTTGAACTCTGAATTTTGTTGGAGATAAAGCAATAGGTGAAATGCAGAGTCGTATGGCTCATAAGCAGACTTGCAGATCTTCCCCAGCACTGGTCATTGGTAAACATTAACTCTTGCTTTAACAAAACTCGCTGCTCCTGGCAAGAATAAAGTGTAGGCTGTTGGCAGATCGACCTTAAGCCCCCCAGAAGCTTCTGTGGACTACTATAGTTGCCATTTCAGTGAGAAATATTTTGAAGGTAGGCTTTTAGAAAAATTTCTCTTGCTTCTTATAAAAAGAAAAACCATGAGAAATGAATTAACAAATAGAGCCAGAAAAGTCATAAGCTACATAATGTCAAATTGTTTGTTCATCAAGCTTGTATAAAGTAGGTGCCTTATTCTGAAATAATATCAGCACGAGAAAATATGAATGTACGCCTCAAGTCCCATTCTAATAGTTCCCATCACAAACAACAGGGACAATGTAGGGATACTCATTCCTAGCCTATCTGAACTGGAAAAATACTGCACTGACTGGGCAGGTTACCAGAGTGCACTGGTCAAAAAGCATGCCATACAGCTCAGGAATAAGCAGCGTGCTGCTACCCATGTCACTGCTGCTTGATCAAGCAACAAGACCTATGACAGTTTTTTCAGCATTTAGCCCCTCTTCACCTATGAGAACCACACCACATTTTCTCTTCTTGAAAAACAGTACAAAGATGAAAAAAAAAAACCTGTTCCTCAGTTCCATTCACTGCTGAAAATCAAAACTTTCCATGGACCATCCCCCAGGCAGAGAACAGCCTAAAGAGCCTGTCTTCCTCGTGGCATTTGCTGCAGCGAGTTCCCCTCTGGAAGTTGCTAAGAGTCAACATTTAGTGTGCCAAATCCAAAGCTTTTTTTTTTTTACAAGAAATGTCTTACTGTAAAAATTATTTGAACACAGGTAACAAATTTCTGAGCCTGAACTGATTGAGTTGGTGTAAGCACTATGAGAAGATATGATTTGGGGTTCCAAAAGGAAAAAAGGTCAATTTAGTCTCAAAAGTTTTTAGATCCTATGTTCACCCAATCTTTATAATACTATTTTCTGATGGATTCCGGTTCTGGTGGCCTCTCCACTCCTTACGTCTGATCATCAATAAGAAAACAGAATGTGAGAAATGAGAAATGAAGGACCCCTTAAACCTGAACCTGAAATGATCCAGAATGCTTACAGACACCTCTTCAGAGCTGGAGGGCAGTTTCTGGTGTGCCTTCAAAAGACTGTATCCTCAGTTAGGGAAGCTACTGGAGTCTTAGCCCTGGGAGGCCTCTAGACAGACATGGATTAATTCGGCCCTCTTATTTTACCTCTAGTCGGGGTTAAGCAATTTGCTGGTGTCAAGGGCTAGGATGAACACTTGGGTGCCCAGTAAGGAGAGCACCACTTATGTCTCTGAGTATCTTTGACATGGGTTACTGCAGTTCTGCTTCACCTGAAAGAGTTTTCTGTATAAAGTAGGAGGTCTTGTCTCAGGAGACTGTCAGGTTTTATCCTATAATGAAAGGCTTCAGGACTTCAGGCCTATGATGTTCAGAGAACCTTGGAAGAAACAACTTTTTATCTGAAGAATTTGATTCCCTAATATTCCATTGTCAGGGAAATTGATAACCTGTAGTATTTTTTAAAAAAAAAGATTGCAAGATTACAAAATACATATTTTTTAAAGCCAATAAGAACAAAAAACTTCCCTATGTATGCTCATATTTTATTTTGGTTCAGTTCTACCCAGACATGCAAACTTCATGAGTTTATAAGATAGTACTCCATGGGTCTGTCTTGCTAATGGATTTCAGCCCCAGACAAGTTCACTACGGAATCAGTGATACTGAAAAAATGACAGTGGAACATTCTTGGGGTGAAAGGATTTATACCCAACTTTATTTCCACAGTGGCAGGTCAATCAGTAGAATCCCATCCACTCAGAGCAAGTGTGCATGTAGCAAGCCAGTCTCTGCCTCTGGGCCTCTCTGCCCCCAGAGCCATCTCAGTCTCTGTTCTTGGTGCTGCCATCACTCCAGTCTCTGTTCTCTGGCAGCTTTGCAGCCCTGTCACTGTGCTGCCCCATCACCCAGAGCCCTGGACAAAGCTCTTTACATAGAGTTAATAGCAACATATTGCCCACACATAGTGAGCAAGCCAACCAGGGTCAGGTAAGAATCCTGGCCATGGGACCTTCACTTTCTACACAGGATCCCTTGAGTAAGAACTTGTCTTAAAAAATGTAAATAAAATACAGTGAAAGAAAAAGACACCAAAGAAATCCTGAGAACGAAAGGAAAGCTGGAGGCACCTCACTCCCTGATTTTAAACTATGTCACAAAGCTATTGTAATTAAAACAGTATGGCATTGGCATACAGACACATACATAGATCAGTGGAACAAAATAGCTCAGAAGTAAACCCACACATACATGGTCAATTAATTTATAGCAAAGGAGCCAAGAATATACAATGGGGAAATGATCTTCAATAAATGCTATTAGGAAAACTGGACAGCCACATGTAAAAGAATGAAACAGGACAATGATCTTACACCATATATACAAGTTAACTCCAAGTGGATTAAAGGCTTGAATGTGAGCCTGAAACCATAAAATGAGAAGAAAACAGACATTAAGTTCCTAGACCTAAATCTTGGTGATGACTTTTTGAATCTGACACCAAAAGGAAATATAACGACAACAAAAAAAACACAAACAAGCAGGACTACATCAAACTGAAAGCTTCTGCACAAGAAAGGATTCAACAACAAAATGAAAAGGCATGGTGATGAATGGGAGAAAATATTTGCAATCATAAATCTATTCAGGAGTTAATATCTAAAATTTACAAAAAACTCATACAACTCAGGAGCAAAAAAATTGATTAAAAAGTGAGAAGATCTGTCATGCCAATGGGTTTCAGCCCTGGGCAAGTTTGCTATGTATTCAATGTGACCAAAGAAAATGACAGTAAAACGTTCTTGGGGTGAAAGGGTTATACCCAACTTTATTTCCAGATGGCAGGTCAGTCACTAAAATCCCATTCATTCAGAGCGAGTCTGCATGCAGCAAGCTGGTCTCTGCCTCTGGGCCCCTCTGTCTGCACAGTCATCCCACACAGCCGTCCTCTGGGCCTCTCTGCACAGTCATCCTACACAGCCATCCTCTGGGCCTCTGTCCTCAGTGCTGGCACCACTCCAGCCTCTGCTCTGCTCTCCTGCAGCCTTGCAGCCCTGCCACCGTGTCACACCCAGAGCACTGGGCGGAGCTCTTTATATGGAGTCAACAGCCCTGTATTGCCCACAGGTGTGCAGGAGCTAGTCAACCAGGGCCAGGTGAGAATCCTGGCCACAGGAACTCTCATTTTATCCACAAGATCTAAATAGATGTTTTCCCAGAGAATACATATGGATGACTAACAGATGTATGAAAAGATGCTCAACATCATTAATCAGGGAAATGAAAACCACAATGAGATATCACCTCACATCTGTTAGAATGGCTGTTATCAAAAAGACAAAATAACAAGTATTGGCAAGGATGTGGAGAAAAGGGAACCCTTGCACACTGTAGGTGGGAATTAAATTGGTGCCATAATTTTGGAGAAAATATTGAGGTTCCTCAAAGTTTTTTAAATAAATACCATGAGATCTGGCAATTCCACTTTTGGTATTTATCCAAAGAAAAGGAAAACACTAACTCAAAAAGATATCTGTACCCTCAGGTTCACTGTAACATTATTTACAATAGTCAAGATATGGAAACAAACTAAATGTCCATTAATGGATGAATAGAAAAATAGTGTATATAACAATGCAATATTATTCAGGCATAAAATAGAATGAAGTATTGCCATTTGTGAAAACATGGATGGACCTCAAGGGCTTTATGCTAGTGAGGTAAGTCAAAGACAAATACTGTATGATCTCACATGTGGAATCAAAAAACAAAAAAAGCTCATAGATACAGAGAACAGACTAGTGGTTGCTGTCAGAGGTGGGGAAAGGAGAAATGGGTATACCTGTGTTGTTTTGTTTGCTTGTTTAAACAGTTTAAATTTCCTTAAATGTGCAAAAGAAAAAACAGAAATAGAAGTATAGTTCACTTTGATTCAGTAATTTCATTCCAGAATTTATCAACAAAAAGCAAAACGTTATCTATGACAGTGTAGGGAGAATGAAAGTTCCTATGGCCAGGATCCTTACCTGACCCTGAACTACTTGATGATGTGATTGGCCTATGCTAGGCCACTGTTTCCACACCTGTTGGCAATGTGCCATTACTGTTGATGTTACTATATAAAGAGCTCCACCCAGTGCTCTCTCCCAAGGCAAAGACAAAGGGGCTTGCAGCATGCAGACTGCCCCAGAGGCAGACATGATTCCAGCACTCCACCTGCCACCATGAGAATAAAGTTTGATCTAAACCCTACCCTTAACACTCCGTTATTATGCGAATTTACCAAATTCCAGACTGAACCTCCCTTGCAGCAATCCCCCTCAGGCAAGACATATAGCAATCCTAAGCGGCTAATAACCAAGGTCTGGTTTAGCAATTAAACAGTACACCAGGGCTTGGAGCTTGCAGCTTTTTAAAACTTTAATAATAAGCATTGCAAAACAGGAGAAAGTGCTTACAGTCTTAACAGTTTGCTACTGAAAGTGAGATTCCTGTTCCAGTAGCCATTTCCACTGGTTGGAAATGCAGTGTCTGTGCCTCACTCCAGTGACTCAGAATGCATTTTAACAAGATCCTAGGCAACTGTATGCATCTTAAGGTTTGAGAATCACCTCAAATAAGGGGTGGGGGGGCAATGCTAACTGCTAACATACAGTTATTCAAAAAGCATATGTATGTGTCAACAATTGTTAGGTCACTTCACAAAAATGTGAATAATTTAAATGGGAGATAATGCCTCCTACCCACACAAAGGTGTATTTTATTTTTTGTTGTAGGTCTGTTGTTGGCCTGTTGTTGGTCCTCAATAAATGGCAGCTATTAGGAATGTGACACTGTTATAGACTTTTCTTTTTTGTTAATATTCTTTAATGTTCTTGTTGCATCATATTTTGGAAACTTAAAAGGCAATAAGGAAATTAATATACTGTGCTTCCTTTCAACCAGTTAAAGCATGCTTTTCTTTTTGCCTCAGCTATCAGGAAGCATAGAACTAAATTTAATTCTCAATACAATAATTCCATTAGCCTCACTTTCTGAAATACTTGTTTTTGTTACTATAACTCTTACTTTCTATTTTATTAGCTTTTCTAGTATGTTTCGTACAAATTACCTAAAATTCTTTCGGAAAATAAGGGTCCAATTACAATAATGACTTCTAGTAATGACTTCTAAATAATAGTCTGTTCTTACTTGCCAGACTCCACAAAAAGATGTGTTTATGAAATCACTTGCCTGTTTTAAATGATTTCTTCTCTCCTGTTCTTTTTCCACCTCTCGACACAAGTGAAAGTAAAGGGTTCCTGTTTGCCCCTCAGTGACGAAGGTCTCAGATACCGCTAGCTTCCTGCCCCCTGCGTCATGCTTCTCTCCCAGGCCGCACGGCAGCCCCTTCAGCCCAGCCAAGTCCTTCTGCCTGTAAGTCCTCAAGGAAACAGAACCACAGCTCTTCCAAAGGCACACAGACCACCCTCCAATGGCATTACTCACCAACCCTTCAGCTGCTTCAAACTTCCTCTGCAATGAAAAAGAGAACAGTATTTGTTTACAAGTGAGCCCTGTTTTCAGGGTAGTTCCCTGCCCACTACTCCCTCTCCAAACTAGATCGGATTTCTCTGATTCACTCACAAGACAGCCTGCACTTTTTGCTCATAATGTTTATCAGCTTGTAACTCTATATCGCATGATTGTCTCCTTTACCAGACTGTAAGGTCCAGTTTAGATTCCTCCGCTCACCACTGTACCCCCAGTGCCTAATGGTGTCGGTGAGTAACAAGCCCAGGAGCTGTTATTGGTTGGGCAGATGGATGATGTAAAAAGTGGAACTACTGGCAAGAGAGACAGGAAAGAATGAAAACTTAATCACCTGTAAAGCAGGCATTGTTAGTGCTTTATATACACTGTCTGATCCTCAGCACAATCTCTTATTTTTTTGTTAGGATATAATTCACTAACGTAAAATTAACTCTTTTAAAGTGTACAACTCAAGACAACTCCTCAAGACAGGAAGAGCCTGCTGAGAGACAGGAGCAGAAAGTACCCTAGGAGGAAAGGAGGTGAATGGAAGTAGTCAGGTGGCTTCCTGAAGTGCCTGCCTGGGCCTCACAGGTCAGCTGCAATGATAGCTACGGGGTAGGATTTGGACAAGAGGAGACTGAAACAGGATGGACACATGGAGAACTCCAAGGCTACTCTAACCCTAAGGAGTTCAGTCTCCCACCACCTGCACTCCCAGAGCTGTCAGTCTGCACCCCAACCTGCCTTTCTCCTCCTGCTCCAATAACCCAGACCCTCTACTCCCTTTCTGTTCCTCTCTCCACCTAGCAACCTGCCAGTGTTACTTCAAGACCCAGCCTCAGCGCTACCTTCCAGGGAACACCTCGCCAGCTCCCAGGCTGGATCAAGACTGCTGCCTGTAGACCCTGAGAATGCAGGGGGACAAGACGACACCCGTCATCCCAGAGAGGGTCTGCCATCACCTCATCACTGGCCAGTTTGCAACCCTCCACTGAACTTTGGCCTCTGGAACAAGGGCTGTGTCTGCTTGGTGTCAGTGTCTCCACCCCTCAGCCAGGAGCCAGTCCCCAGGTGACTGGCTGTGAAGGCGAGTTACCTTTTCCATCTGCCTTGTAGTCGTCAGGGAGGAGCTTGTCCTGCCGGTAGCCCAGCACAAAGGCCAGGAAGGAGAGGATGAGCGCGTCTCCGATGCTGAGCACGGCCAGCATGAAGGCCCAGCGGATGGTGCACTGGCCCAGCGTGTACTTGCCCGTCTGCTCCCCACACATGCGCCGCACCTCACTTGAGTCCCAGCCATCCGGGTAGACCAGACAGCCAATCATCAGGCCTGTGGCTGAGGGGGTGCAGACAGTGTTGGGCTGGTTACCTTCTGCCTTGCTGTCATCTTGTCACCTCCCTTTTTGTGTCAACAGCCTTGAAAGGCACAGGGGCGGCTCCTATCGTCCTTGTGGAACACAGAAGACAAAACAGGATCCAAGAACTAAAGCCGCTTGTCCCTGGGAACCAGCAGTCAAGGGCAGAGGCAGAGGGCTGCGCTCCTCAGCCCATGGCGACTTCTGCCAGGGCACCAGGGTCCTACCAGGCCCTCAGCCACATCCCCCACTTTGGACCGGATGAGGCCCTGACTACCTTGGCTTCAAAGCCCTGGTCCTAGCCCAGAGAACTCCTCACTGCAGAAATGTACATTCACTCATTCCACAGAATCTCTGAGAGAAGTGTAAAAGGAAGCTTCAGGCTATAGTTTAACCAGAAATATTTTTCCTTTTTACAGCACAAAGAGTAATGGTATGTCCTATAGCTCAGGTATACAATGAATTAGATTAGATTCAGTAAATACAGAAAGTTTTCCAGTCCCATCTCGGGCTGCTTCCTTCATGCACCTTCCTTTCAAGCAAATAGATCCCCTCACCCTCACCCAGCACAGCACAGTGCAACTGCCCACACTTACCTGAATTCAAGAATCCCCTGGAGTATTTGTTTAAAATGCTGACTTTCAGGTCAAAGTTGGGCTCAGGATCCCATTATTAAAAGTGCTCTTTCAGGTGACTCTCTCAACAAGAAAAGCTGGATTTCAAGCCTAACTAGCTGTGCAACTCAGAACAAGTCACTTGGGCTTTTTTTTTTTCCCTCACTTTCCTCATCTTTAAAATGGGGATCATAATAGCCCCCACCTGTTTGGATTGAAATGAGGTTGAAATGATTTAATACTGAAAATGTGTTCAGAACACTTCCTGGCACAAACTGGGTACTTCATGAGTTTTTGCTGCTATTATCCACCCTAGGCTTTCATTGACTTAATTTCTAGGGCCGAAAATTTTGTTTTCCCCACCTTCCCACTTCTCCCATGCCCTCCCATCAATCCTACCTTAGCTGCACAGACAGGTGACATAACCCTGGGATGTGCCCAAGCAACTCCAAAGACAACCGCAGGCAGGCAGTAGTAGCCTTCCCTTATCTGGGGCACTTTCCTACCAGGGCAATTTCCTACCCTGGCCCTCCCTTCCACAGGTCTTCTTTAGCCCCTAGGCTGTGCCGTAGCCAGCAGCCTCAGAGAAACACCTTGAAGAACCCAAAGGTACCTTCAGTGGGCTCAGTTTGGTCTTTCAAGGAAGGTCAGGAGATCAAACAAATGCACAGCAAAGTGCAAAGATCAGGGTCCCACCTCCTGACCTAAATGTATCAACCCTGCTTTGATTTTATATAGGAGGAACTCCTATAGTTCTCTTCTAGATCACAAAATACTTGATGTACCATTTTTCTCTTGATTTTGACAACAGTTCTGTGAAGTAGGCCATGTGTTAATATCCCATTTTACAGATTAAAAAACTGAGGTCTTAGAGAAACCCAGTGAGTTGCCCAACCAGGGCAGAGCCAAGGCCTGAACTCCCAATTCCTGACTTTCTGACTTCAAAGTTAGTTCCTCCTTCTCCCACGCTAAAGACATCACTCTAAAGACATCTCTCTACAGAGCTGCATTATTTAGTGGTGACATTTCAGACTTAGTGACAAACTAAAATTGTTTCAGAAAGATACTTAGAGTAGGGGTGAGCCATCCCAGAGCTCTGGTAAAACCTGTGGCCTTCCCCACTTGGTGCAAGACCAACATTTGGTCGAGGCATGGTCCTGAGCTTAATGGGGTGGGAGGGGGAGGTGCGTGGGACGGCACAGGTGCTCAGTACATAGGTGAATGTGGAAAGGAGCTGCCCTTCTGGACTACATTCTCCCATCAAACAGCCCTCTTCCACAGTGTCTCCTTATGGGGGCCCAGGGCCTGACTTGGAAACAGTTTATTACTATGGGCTCCACAGTCCTCTGTGAGCACCCCACCCACCCTCTCAGGCACAGTGAGGGTCACCCCATTTGTGGTGTCTCAGGGCTCTAAGTAGAGGTCAGCATGGTATTCTCAAGCAAGTTTACTTATGCTTCTTACTTCCATCCTCTCATCTGTAAAGTAAGAATAGTAATACCTGACTCACAGCAGGGCTATGAGGATTAAGTGTGATCAAGTATAGAAAAATGCTTACTGCAGTGCCTGGTATATAGTAAGTGGCCAATTACTGTTAGTTGTTACTATTATTATTGACACTGAAGTCTGGTAGAAGCAACCTTGGTGGATGTGAATGTCATCAGAGCTGTTCACAAACATTCCAGGTACATAATAGGATTTTATTTCTTTACCCCATCCCTTCTAGTTAGGCAAGGCCGTAAGACTTCCTTTGGCCAATAAAATGTGAGCAGAAATGTCCTGTGCATTTCCAGGCAAGAGCATTCGACTGCAGATGGGAGATCTTCCATAGCTCCCTCTGCCTCTGCAATGGCGACAGCCAGGTGACAGCTGATGCTCCATCAGCCTGGGTTCCAGAAGAGAACAGTGAGAGCAGAGTGCCCAGCTGGCCAATGAGCATGGATCATGAGCAGAAAAGAAACCCTTGCTTTAAGCCATTAAGATTTGGGTTTTTTTAAACTCCTGTGGCATCACCTTACCCTCCTGACTGATAAAGTTGTTTTTCACATTTTATGAACACCTGCCATGTGTCAGGCACTGTGGAACATGTTTCTGCATGCATTATACACACCCTTCTCACAAGAGCCCTGTGATGGGAGATCCTGTTGCTGCAGTCTACGGATGAGGTTACCAAGACTCAGAGAGACAAGTAACTTGCCTCACCTGAGTTACTGGGCGCTGAGACCACACTCAGCCTACACCTGGCATCCAGAAGCTCAATGAGCATTGCGAAGCTACAGCTCCACATTGCCCCAGTCATCAGTCCTCTTTCCCATCTCCTGCTGCTTTCCCTGGTCCCAGTTTTCTGGGTGAAGTTAATCTAACTGGTTTAGGCCTCTTCAAATGGATGCCTCTCCCAGCTGCTGGCTGTGGGGCACTCTCCCTCTTCAGCCCTCCCTTGGGCTCCTCTTCTCTTCCCCCAGCTCTGAAGAACGGAAAACGACACCACCTTCGCTCTCCCAAAACATAAATATTTCATGGGATGGCACCCGGCCGCCTCTGCTATCAGTGTCCCCAGCTCCATGACCCCGACAGGATCTGACTCAGATAGCCTGGTGACCCCTCCCCATCCCAGGACCTCCCAGCACTACCTGTTCAGCAAGTGGCCCCTGTTGCAGGAGGCTGGGGGAGGGGGAAGGGAGCAAATGAGAGGGATGGCTTTGTTTCCAGCATCCCACAGCTCTGATACGGAGGACCAGCTGTCAACCATGCCAGGACACATTCTACTCCTCTTTGTCACAAAACTGCTGAATATTCATTTCCCATTATTTCTCCCCACTGCCCACAAGACTTGACCCACCCCTGCCCCAGCCTCTCCCTCAACACACAGAGACTACAGAGGAGAGAGAGATGGCGGAGGGGGACAGAGGGTGGGGGAATTAGGGAGGCAGCTCTGGAGTCAGGTGAATAGCCTGAGTACAAGATCTGGAATCAATAGTTTCCTCCATTACTTACTGTGCTAAAAGACAAGTGACTTACTCAGAGCCTTATGTATAAAATGGGAGGAATACCTACCTCACTGAATCATGATGAGGCTCCTCAAGACGATGTATGTGAAAGCACTTTGCAAATCATCTTATTTATGTAAATGTGTGGCTCAATACAAATGTCTTTAGAATACATCTAATTTCTTGGAAGTCACTGCCTTAATTCTAGCCTTAGTCACCAGCTCATCTATAGTCTTGGCCAACTCTTATCCTCTCTCTCAGCGTGAGATTCCTCATCTACTGTTATGGAGCGGGGGATTATGGGTCTCTGGAGTCCCCTCCAATTCTGACAGTCTTAAGTCTATGTGTTTGGATTCAATAAACATTACTACCATATTAAATCATTTTCAAGGTTTTCCCACATTTTAATATTCTTGAACTAAGACATCTTACTTAATTGCTGTTGTCCGGATGGCTGTAACTGCCATGGCCTGTACATGTGTAAACATGTAACTCAGGCATCAAAACTAGTGAAATGGTTGTTAATGACTTGGAGAAAAATTCCAGAAACTATTGTAAGAGCACTTTTAATCATTAGGAACCACATAGGTAGAGGAAGAGAGTATGAGGGTGGGGAGGTGACAAGTCAGGCATGTTTGATAACTTCCTGAAGTAAGCTGGGTCTTCATAATTGCAGAACTGGCCAAGAGGTCCAGCACCAATGGCTTTTAGTTCTTAAAAGATTACCTCACCATCTGTCTTGGTGGTATAGAGGACAACACAGGAAATGAACACTCAGACATTGACATCAATGCTTTAGAGTAAAAAAGTGATTTAGTACATGGGCATTCCTCAGCTCATTTATTTTGCATATATACACACCCAAGAACAACAGATGGTAAAAATTGGTACACTTAGGTCTGAAAAGGCCCTCTCAATAAGAATAGATAAGCATTCTAAGTGATAAGAAAGCTTGTGCCATAATTTCATTGGTAGTGGCTTTTCTTTTGTAATGATATACAAACTACAGTTTTAACTTACAGTTGATGGTGTCTTAGAATCAATAAAATGTGGAATTACTGTGGTGAGGATCTTTATTGAGTACCTGACAAATGTGGTAGTTTAGTAAAATGAACTCTAGGTGGTCTAACTCCTGTAATTCTGATTCCTGTTCATTCCTCTGTTAAAGATAATACTGTTCCTCATTCTAACCAATGATGTCAAAATAGTTTTCACTCTAGTCTACAGTCCCCAGCACTGCTTCTGACCATCTCCTTAGTATGGACAGCCTGTGTGTGGTCCTTGGGGTGTGAAGGAACCAAGGGCTGCAGGACAAGTTCTTAGACCATCTCTTCCTAGGCTGTAGAGGAGAAAGGACCAGCTGGCCCACAGATCCAGAGGCCTGCCTGGGCCAGAAGCTGGAAGAAGGGGCAGGGAAAGCCTTACTTCTGGGCACAGGGTGCCACCAACCCCACAGAGTTTTAAAAGACCCTAGCCATTACCACAAAAGATCACTCCCATTTGCTGCCTCAAGATGGAATCCTGTAGTTAGGGAACAGAGACTTCACTGAACCACAAAAGAAGGGACTTAAATACAAGATTCTGTGGGAGAGGTAACACTCAACCTAACACTCCAAATCAATGACTGACCTTAGAATCTCTGTGAGAGCAGTTTTTGGTGGGAGGGAAGGAGTGAGGACAGGGATCCGGGGATCCTTAAAGGGGATAAACAAATGCCTAGACGTTGAGAGATGGCGACATCTAGAATGTGCTTGACTGGCAACACTATTTTGCCCCAGGGTTGGGTCTTACTCTCACATGTTCAACAATGGAAGTTTCCTTCTTTCTCCCTCTCCTGAACAGCCCCTCTGGTGTGGCCCTTGGAGTCAGGACAACTGATTTCTTCTGTGAACTAGCTGTGTGCTCCTGGGCCAGGCACTTCCCTCTCTGGACCTCAGTTCCTCATCTGCCAGAAGAGGGAATTGGACAATTTGATCCTTACGGTCCTTTAGGTCTCAGCCATTCTAAGGTTCTCTACTTCTCAGAAGCTTCTACAGAACATTGAGTAGAGCTGGGCTAAAGGAAGTCAGCTGAGTAGGAGGAGGAGATCCAGAGCCTCCACAGAGAGAGGGATGGTGCAGTCGCCCCTGTGGCCTGGGGTGGGCCCCTGCCTGCCCTCCCATTATCCCTGCTCACCAGCAGCCAGCTGCATCCATGCACAGATCTTGTAGACCGTGGCTGTGTTGCAGACGAAGAACAGGCTGAAGCAGATGATGGAGCCAATGATGAGGAACATGGCCAAGGCCACAAAGAACATGGCAGTCTTGAAAGCTCTAGAGGGGATGGAGGAGAAGTCCAGTGGGCCACCCTTGCAGATGAGCTCAGAGGACAGCACGTTGCCCACACAGTAGGAGAAAAGGCCGAAGTAGCCTGCCTGTGGTGTGTTGACACTATCACCGATCCAGTAGGGCTGGATGAAGAGGGCCATGACCAGCACAGAGAAGCAGATGGTGAGTGTGCCCCACATCACACCCACGGCCCTCGCGTTCCGCACATAGTTGGTATGGTAGATCCTGGCTGCTTCCTGGGCAGGCAGCAGCTTTACCATGGTGAGGGCGCCGGTCCCTGGGCTGGGGCCTGTGGGCTGGAAGTCGGCGGCTTTGCAGATAGAGGCCCAGAAGGTCACTACTCAGTCTTATTTGGGGAGGCTGAGGTCAGGGCACGAGGTGAGGGCCCCGCCATGGTGCAGGAAAGAGGATGGGACAAGGAGGATGACCTTGGCTTCTTCGGGGGAAAGCGTAGCCCGGGGCCCGTGTCCGCGGTGGCCTTCTGCCCGAGTCCTGCCTCCTCTCAGGCTCGTCAGGGTCTTGGGCCCGCTGGCGCCGCCCTGGCCGTCCGCCCCCTCCAGCTCCGAGCTCGAGCCCCGCCTCCTGTCTCCTCGGAGAGCGCGGCTTCAGCACCGCGGCCAGCGCCTCGCGGCCGCGGTCCAAAGGCTGAGAGCTGCTCACCGGAGCGGGCACCCAGCTCACGCCCCCACCCGCCCCACATCCTCGCCCTCCACAGCGTCGTCAACAAGAACTGGGAGGGTGGGGCTGCGGCTGTCACATTCCTCCCGCTCAGAGCCTGCCGCACAACTAAACCCGCCTCCGGAGCACAGTCCCCACCCCTTCCGAGCTCCCTGGCCGCCCTTCCAGGACTTCCATCCCCCAGAGGCCAGCAAAGCCTTTTCTGGTTGTCTTCTCTTCACTGGTTTCTCTATCATTCAATCAGCAATTACTGAGAGCCTATATGTGCTAAACCCTATGTTGAGGATATCTTCTCTAAGCAAGAACTACAGAAATAAAAAGGACAGGGTCCCTGCCCTGGAAGACAGTGAGATATTTAGAAATATGTTTATGTGTATGTACCTTTGTAATGCAGATAACAGAAGCGACTACAAAGGGCAGCAAAGAACGTTCCTATGAGCCTTCTCAGACCTTAACATGTTTTTTGTTCAATACAGTGTCTTTCTCCTCTGCTGATATGTTTTTCATATTTCTCTTACCCCTCTTTTTCCAAATACATGTTTCTTCTTTTATAGCAGATACATGTTTAATGTAGAAAAATAGTAAAAGTTACATAAAAAAACAAAAATCACTCCTAAACCCAACATTGGGAGCTAAGGAGAGACAAGATCATTTTAAAAACATGGACTTTGGCTTTAGAAAGATCTGGATTTGAGTCATTTATTTAGCTCAGTGACCATCTATGGACTTACATTCCTGAGCCTTAGTTATAAAAAATGGAGATGATAACAGTATCACATAAGGGTTAAGTAAAATAACATATGCAAAATATTTAGCATAGGCCTCACATTTAAATGTACTCAAAGTTTATTCTTATAATTACTATCATTACCTCTGTTAATATTTTGGTGCATTTCCCTCCTGCACATACTGCTTTACAGTTGGATAATAATGTGTCCACAATTTAGTACCCAATTTTTTTTGACTTAGCATTATACCATTAATATTTTCTTATATCACCATTATGCAAAAGCATGCTTTTAATGCTTGTATAATAATGCAAAGCATGTACATCCCATAATTGTTTAATCATTTCAACTGGGGAATGGATAAACGCTAAATGGCATTCCGTGCACACAGTGGACTACTACTACTCAGCAATACAGAGTAACAAACTACTGAAACCTGCGACAGTGGGCATGAACCTCAAAGGCTTTATGGTAAGTAAAAGAAGCCAGACCAAAAAAGTAAAAAACAGCATACTGGGTGATTTCATTATGGAAAAGACAAAACTATAGGGAAATACAAATCTGTGGTTGCCAGTATCTGGAGGTGGGTTGATTATAAAGGGGCAGTATGAGGGACACTTTTTTAGGGTGTCAGAGGGGTTCTAGATCTCGGTTGTTGTGAGGTTACATGATGGATGCATTTGTCAAACTCATAGAACTGTACACTGCAAAAGGTAATTTTACTGTGTCAATTATACTTTTATTTTGTACAAGAGAGATTACTAATGTTGACAGGGTGCCAAATCCTGACTATCCAGGAGACAGAGGGTGCGGATACACAAGGGAGCAGGAGCATGTGCAGGACTCAGGAAATGCCTGGCATTTCTGACCTAATCCTGGTCAGGAAAATGGGCTGCTGAGAAGAACCCTGAAGGCTGAGTATTGAAGAAACTGGCAACCTGAAAATCACTATAGGTCTCACATCCTCCCCTCACCTAAACACAAAAGAGTCTGGATAGTCAGAGAAAAAAGTTACAATTACAGCAAACCCCAATTACAATGTGAGCCTACTTCTTGGGGAAGAAAGGTTATCTGTGGGCTAGGCAGCCATGAGTTGAATGGAGGTATCTATTCATGCTTGCCCAGAATCCTTACACTTTCTTTGGTAACAAAAACTCTCTCTACTTGAAGAACTGCCCTACACTGCTCCATGTGGCCCAGGTTGGGCTGTCCACCTTGGGGCTCTGCCCAGCGCAGATCATGGGGAGGGTGTCGGAGGACAGAGCTAAGTCTATCTGAGTGTCTCGGATGGGGAGTTGGAATCTTGAATGGATTCCTGTCTGCTCTCTGCTTTGACTCCAGGGTTGTCAATTTGAGGTTTGTGGCTTAGGCAATGGAGATGTGTTACAGGAATACAGGGAATTTCAGGGCCCACAGAGGCAGGAATGCAGCCAGCATTGGAAGCCAGCATGGGAAGAGTGTGTGTATGTGTGAGACCAGGACCTGGAAATCCATCAGGGAAGGAGGGTCTGGCTGCCACTGCGTCTTCCTAAATGGTGGAGCCATTATTCCTCCTTCTGCAAGCCAGCTTTCTCCATTTCTTGATCAGCACATCAGAAAACTGTCTTCCTGGACTTTCCTAGTTTCATGTATTAGATCAGTTTCAAGGTGAGCTGTTGGGCACAAGCCTACATACCAGAAGAGGGACTTGGGTCAGGGGTCCATCCCTTGTCCAGTCCAATGAGGTGGGGAGCAAAGATGGGCTCATTTACTAGCATGGCTGCCCAGGGCCCACCCTTGTGTTGGGGGGTAAATCTTGGAGAATGTGGATTGGGAGACACTCAAGAAGAGTGTGCCACATTTCTGGGTCTACACTACTGTACTCCAACCCCACTCACCAGGAGGCCTGACACCATCCCAGTCCCTACCAGCTAAATGGTAGGACTTGACCAGGAAGAATTTGGCCTTTTTATTAAATTGAGATAGAGTATATACATTACATACAGTGAAATCCTCAAATCATAAGTGCAGTGCTAGGTGGATTTTTATATGTATGTGTTGCCAACATCCT